CCCCAAAACCCCAAAACCCCAAAACCCCAAAACCCCTTAATTAGGGCTGCACATTGATAATCAAATTTGATAAGATATTACATTTCTTCATCTTCTGCCTTCTCTTCAACGGCTTCTATTCTAACTTCCTCATAATCTTTCTCAAGTGCAGCAAGGTCTTCTCTGGCCTCTGTAAACTCTCCTTCTTCCATTCCTTCCTCGATGTACCTGTGAATGAAGGCTTTCTTAGTGTATATGAGATCAAATTTATGATCAATTCTTGAAAAATTTTCAGAAATTGCCGTCGAGTTAGAGATCATGCTGCAAGATCTCATCATTTTGGCAAGGCCTCCTCCTGGAATAACTGTGGGTTGCTGGAAGTTGATACTACATTTGAATCCTTTTGGGCACCAATCAACAAACTGAATAGTTCACTTAGTTTTTATATCTGCAATAGATAAGCTAACATTTTTAGGAACAATGTTTCCTCTGTACATTACTCAACAAGCCATATATTTCCCGTGCTTTGGGCTACATTTTACCATCATCAAATCTGGTTCAAAGCAAAAGCTCGTGATCTCAGGGACTGATAACTGTTCGTGATACTCTTCTTCAGCTGATATGATTGGAGCAAATGATGACAGCATGAAATGAATCCTAGGATAAGGAACCAGATTAGTCTGAAAATCATTGATATCCACATTAAGAGCTCCATTAAATCTGAGAGATGCTGTCAGAGATGAAATCACTTGAGCAATGATTCTGTTCAGGTTTGTGTAGGTTGGCCTTTCGATATTAAGATTCTTCCTGCAAATGTCATAAGTAGCTTTATTGTCAAGCATTACACAAACATCAGTATGCTCAAGCAGCGAATGGGTTGATAGGACCGAGTTATATGGCTCAACAACTGAAGTAGAAATTTGGGGTGATGGATAGACAGTGAAACAGAGTTTAGACTTCTTTCCATAATCTACTGAAAGTCTCTCTAGTAGCAATGAGCCAAGTCCTGATCCAGTTCCTCCTCCAACTGAATGGAAGCCAAGGAATCCTTGAAGTCCAGTGCAATTATCTGCCAGCTTTCTGATTCAGTCTAAGCAGAGATCGACTATATCCTTGCCAATAGTATAGTGTCCTCTTGCAAAATTATTCGCAGCATCTTCTTTGCCTGAAATTAACTGTTCAGGGTGAAATAGCTGTCTGTATGTTCCAGCTCTAATTTCATCAATTACAGTTGGCTCAAGGTCTAAAAACACAGACCTCGGAACATGTTTCCTAGCATCGGTTTCTGAAAAGAAAGTATTGAAAGTATTATCACCTTCTCCAATAGTTTTGGCGGATGTCATCTTGCCATCAGGTTGAATGTCATGTTCAAGACAAAAGAGCTCCCAGCATGTGTTACCGACTTGAACTCCACCTTGTCCCATATGAAGTGAAATAATTTCTTTCATGTGAGTTTAAGTTTGGTTGATTAAAGTTGGATATAAAGATCGAATAAATAATGATAAAATAGTTTACTTATATAATTTCCTCTCAACGACCGGGGTAAATATAGGGGTTTTGGGGTTTTGGGGTTTTGGGG